AATATTTGATCTAATAAGAACATAATTACGCTTTGTTAGAACTGAAAACGTAACAAGAAATTTCTGTTTTGAATTAAAATTATTAAAATACATAAATTTATCATATATATTAATTTATGATAAAAGATGTATATAATACATATTATTTGAGGGCATATGGTCAATAGCACTTTGCAGCAGTTAACATTTTGTTTCGTTATTATTATTATTATTATTATATGGAAATGTTAAATTATGTTTTTTTGTATTGTTGCAATAAATTATATTATTATAATTCTTCACTTTTGGTGGTAGCTAAGCATAACACTTTTATATCTTTTTAAGTGGACGCACAGAAAGAGGAAATCATCCATGAAATAATATTCCTGATGAATCATACAATTAAACTTATACATCTAATTTACTTCAATATCCTGGTTACAGTATAATACAATTATTTACCAGAATAAGATAATCAAATTATATTCATATAGTATTACTAAAATAAGAGGTAATAAATCATGAAATGAACAACTAAACTTATCGAAAAGTCTTAAACATTTATGGATCTTTAAAACGTTTCCATTCATACTCTATATTGAATAACTAATTATTTATTTATCAATTTAAATGAATATACATCGAATAATCAATTCAATAAATATAGATGTTCTAAAAGTTATTACGTTTAAAAAAAATGTCAATCAAAGTAGATGCTGTTTATCAATACCTCGCAAATTCCGCGATTAGCCCGGTTTCAAACAATCCGGAATATTTGCCGACAACCGTATTGCTGGATTATATTTTATAATTTCTCAGCTCAATAATACTAACAATAACATTTTCTATCATCAGTTTTCTTTATGGCTTGTGTGACATACAATGAAGGGTTACCAATTGCATGACCATTTATAAATACGTAATACGACCATCTCCATTTATTTGGCAAGGTCTGCAACTAATTGCAAGAACGTGAGGTTCGAGGAAAGATATTCCCACGCCGAAAAGGAGGTTTATTGTGTACGGTTTTTATGGCCTCCGGATGATCCCAACCGAAGCCTAATCCAAAGGAGCCTGCTATAAAGAGAATCGCAGAAGGTGCGAAAAATAGCCACCGATAGAAAGAGAAACTTCTCAGCTAGTTTTTAAAGTGAATCACGATGGAATCTAGTGTTGAGCCGATGGAAATTTGTTGCAGAACGCGCGGCGCATCGGCAACAACATTCCTCCTCGGCCCCGCTGATCAACGGTTCTCTTAGGTCGATGTCCGCCCAATACTTATTACATACGCACATTCTTATGTATTCTCCATAGGATATATGTATATATACACAAACACACACAAAACACCGAGGACTAAATCAGTGTGTAAATGAGCCGACACGGACCGTAAATGAAGAACCTAACCGCACCTGAAAAACGTGACCTATGAGACACACATTCTAATGACTCCATAGTTCTTGCTTTGGAATACTCGCTATAATTAAACAAATATGATTTGATTGGTAAATGAAGAACGGTCAGACGTATCAAAAAATGGTATTCGATAATTTTGTTGAAGCTCCTCTGCTAACGGTGGTCGGAGATGCAGCGACGTCGCAATGAATACCTAATCATTAGGGTAATTGGGCACAGGCCATAACCATAACTGGGGGCCCCATTTCCAACGGCATTATTCAATGATCGGATCCTCGCACCATTTGGCTTTTGGCCAATAACGCTCTGTGCAGCTCGATTCTTTTTATTATAACTTCATAAACTGCGCGAGTCAGTTAGTTCTTTCGAATCTGCGAAAAGAGCGAATAATATGATAATTTAAGTAACAACATCAATACTATTAAACCAGATTTAAGCTTAATCAACCATCTAAACACCCGAACAATACGATATGATAAATTAGCTCTAATTCGTAAATCAATAATGAACCACTTATTTTTAACACCAAACAAATAAAAGCCAAGTAACGGACATATTAGTAAATTGTAAATACATGTTTATATCACCACAATAAACTAATTAGCGTAAGATACATTTTCTCTATCCGATTATAAAGTAATAGCAAATCTGTAGGTGTTGAAATTCCTTTAACCCAATATATAAAATTGGTAAAAGTTATTGTTGTAAACAAATAGTGTGAAGGTGTAATATAATAGCTTGAAAACACCTGTCTTTTATAAAGGGTCGCAAATGCAAATTCTGAAGCAAAACTCTCTTTTACGACGGAGGCAATATCAATGAAAAGCCTAACTTTCTAAAATTCACGGCTTCAACTACGTGTTGAAAAGGTCCCAACTAATGACCTGCAGATTATAACACAAATATAACAGTTGGGAATTATTTTTTATTATTTCCATAAATGTAATACCTATTGGCGTTAATCCAATAAATTGTAGATTTAAAATGACGTTGGATTCTATAAAATAAAAAGATTTATAATGAAACTATGAATTGAATTTTTATTAAAATTACAACCTATGTAATTACAAACTTAATATATTACAGACTTATTAAAATCAAAATATTCTGAAATTTAAACCAAAATGAATATTAGATAATATTTATCTATTGAGCAAATACATATAAAATTATAGTCTGTGCAAATCACTACATGTAAGAAATCCAGGTATGGCTACAAAAATGGAGAATAAATGTCAATTAATCGATATCACCGTCACTACGAGAAATAGCTATTGCTCTCGAGTAGCTCTCAATGGAAATATAATACCGACGGATAACAAAAGTTAAATATATGGGTATCTAGATAGAATATTGACCTGGAAAGATTAAGCAAAAAGAGAACAACTTGAAATTAAGTTCAGGAAAGTCTCGCAAATTTCAAAAGAAAATAAACCGATGATGTATATTGTAATTTTAAAACCTATCTGACCGAATACAATTTTGGGGAGGATTACAATCGAAGAGACTTAGAAGGGTTATTGGTAATCTATGGTACATTAAAAACAGGAGAATTCACGAGGATTTTCAAATGGAAACAGTTGAGAAATCTATTGTAAAAAAAAATCAGTAGCCGATACGAAAATAAGCTAGTTAGGTATACAAGTGTATAAGCTGTTAATTTTCTTAACAACAGCTTAACCACTGGTCCATCCCACTGAAATTCAGTTAGTAAATAATTTAAGCAATGTTGCCAATTTGCTGAATAATTTATTTACAAAATAGATTGTATAAATAAATAAATATCACTAAATATTCAAAAATTCTGGTCGAATTTGTTAAAGTAACACGTATAAACACCATATAGATTTACGCATTACATAAATCCAATTAGAAGAAAACCATATTAGAAGAAAACATTGTATAAATATGATAATATAATTTAAAAAATAGTTTTTTTTTTCATTTAATTATGACTCATGTAACGTTTGAAACTTCCCAATTATATCTGGTTAAATTCAACAAAAATATACCTGAACCTATCCTTAAATTTATCTACACAGTAAATCTAAAAATATCAAATAAAAGAGTATTTGCAGATGACACAGCATTATTTTCTTAACACAATAATTTAAGCCAAAATATTCTGAAGATGTCTGTGGCATTGGCTGTCACAACAAAGTCAATGAAATAAAATAACAAATAATAGATATTACTTGGAATTATCCGAATTATAAAAATTTAAGAAAATGTTAATTAAAGTAACTTCTTTTTTATCTCATCATTATTTATTCATTCCGCCAATACACCGCGCTGTTTAAAAGCGCATTAATTAAGAATTTTAAAATTGCATATAGAAAAGACGATCATTTATGTACAAAATGTAATAGTACAAATGTTGTGTACTATAATTTTTAAGGCCCTCAATTATTATTTAGTTACCTTTAAAATATTCAAACCGTACAGATAGAAGCCGCACTATGCGATGTATTGCTGTATTTTTGTACTAATATATATTTTAATATCTAATAGCTAATGATTTTTTTTTATTTCTAATGAAGTACAAAAATGTCAGATGTCTACATATCAGAAAAGGTTAAAATATTTGAAGAAACAAATTGCATTTTTTTATAATTTACAAGTTTACAAACGAAATAATTACATGATATGTATAATTGATCATAATGATTTGTAAACATTGAAATCGAATTGTATTTTAATTTTGGCAGCTTTATTGTTAAGCTTATTACGCTATAATATTTAAATACATAAATCAATCACATTATGCGAAATAATAAATTCTTTAATTTCTATAATTTTACATCAAAAAGTTATTTCATGTGAACATTTTAAACTCTTTCTACACGTTTTTTTTAAATAAATTACAATGCTAATAGCATTGACCTAGCTAAATAAAATATATTAAAGGTTGTATCAGAAATGAATGAAATCCAAAATATCTATTTTACGTTATTTTAAATGTCATAGCGAAGACACGTTTTCATAATTTTATAGTATGATTCATTAATTTTCTAGTATTTTAAAACAATATTTAAATTGTAAAAACAATACTAATAATTTTCAAATATATAAAATATATTCAATATGATTGTTTAGTCAATTTGAAATTGTAATTTTATAAATTTATAAAAAGAAGATTTGTGAAATAGGAACGTTAAATTGGTTTGTTTTGATCGTAATAATTGTTTACTAGCAGAATCAAAATGTCAAATTCGTGACGCATGGAGAAAACATACAAATCATTTTTACAATGAAATATATTTAAACATTCTTCCGAAAAACGTGTGCATTGGATAATAAATTATACAATTATGAAAATTAAATTTAAAATTGATTAATATAAATAATATAAAATAATTATTTTTATTTAATTAATTTAAAAGATTATATTATATGATTAAACATTTATTAACAAAAAAATGTCGTTGAAATGTGTTAGTGATGAAAAATTGTCCGAATATTAATAACAAGACTAAAAATAGTAATAATATTATTATTCTAAGGTGTATGCGTGCACAGGTATCAATGACTTACCTGTGCGGCGCAAAGTAGGCAAAACTTGTTTCTCCCACTTACCTGTCTTGGAGTGTAAGATGCCACCTGAGTCTCAGTGTTGAGTTGCCCATGCCGAGGTGAGGTCGGCCAGGAAAGACACTGAAGAGTCTAAGAAAATATAAATAGAACAACGAGCAACAGTACATAGACAATTAGAAGCGAACCGAGATTACGAATACATAATAAACGCGTAGTGTAGTGTGAACATTCTTCCCATGTACCGGTGGTAAATACGGTCCAAACCAGTGAAACTTAATTTAGGAATTTCGCATGTGCTTGCACCTATCCAACTGCTGAGAGAGAGACACTCGAATTCAAGGTAAATATCAGAAAGCTCCGAAAGCTGGCGCGCCATTCCGAGAACTCAGGTTTCCGACCAGAAAACCCAAACGCGCCCGGTAATTACATTTTCATTAAAAAAAAAGAGCAGAATTATGAATCACCCATCCAGAAATAGTTCATCCATCAAGGCTAACCGCGGGGAAGAAAACAACTTTCATTACGAGATCGTTAATTTCTTAATTACTAATTAAAGGAAATAAATAGAACAAATATTGGTGGTGCTCGATGATGCGTGAAAGCTTGCTTACATAAGGTCGCTAGCAATTTCTTTTCGTTTCATGGAAACAATCCGTAATGCGGGCGCGATTTGTGGAGAGAATTGGAAGCGAATCGCATTCGGGTTGCTCGCGTGACGCATCGTTGGAGTCTCTCCGATACATAACGGTTTTATCGCCGTTTGAACTTCGGTAGAAACGTTTCGGTTTTGAATTCCTTTTGAATATTGAATTGCCCGCATTGGAAGGATTTCATTACCTTGGAATCCACGAAGATTCCATTCGTTACAGGCCGGCAAAGTCAATGACAATATTCGTCGTCACTTAATTTCTTGAATCTGACTGTTAAAGCAGCACCATTTCTATATAAACATCATTTGATTGTATAACTAAAACAAACTTTATGAACGGAATTAAAATCAATAACTACTGTTATGTAATGGAAAGAACCTATTCCTTATCTTATTTACGATCTAAATAAAACAATAGTTGCCTCATTCGCAGATGACGCATATCTAATAGCATATCATAGTTATCAAGACTTAAACAGTAAGAATTATAAGTAGTTATGCAATGGAAAAATGGTTACCTAAAAACATGTTTATTAAAAATGTGACAGTTTGCGGCTGGGGAAAATTACTAATAATTGAAAACGTTCATTGAATACCATGCGGTTTCGTAAGCAGTAAATATAGATTCAATGCTACATTGAAAATATAGAGAAAGGAATTCTTTGTTAAATACATATTACATGATAGACAAATATAACCAATGTGAAGAAGTACAAATAACTGGTTTCTCAATTATTTATTGACAATTACGTTATTTAATTTATCTGAATATTATAACTATTTTGCTAAACAAACACTATAATTTTCCATCATTCAGTTTAAAAGTAGATCGAAATTAGGTATGAAAAGTTTGAAATTAGTTTGTTGTATGTTAGCTTGATTAGCAACATTTAATTAAGTTTATATCAATTATAATTATATTAATACAGTTGGTGTATGAATAATAACTAGAAACTTGTTGATAGATCTACGCTTCATTAATACCAGGAAGAGTTCAGGAACCCACATAAACTTAGAAGAAACTTGCTTGATTTGCATAACATGCGGGATTGTAGTCAAAGCGCTAAAGTTAAAACGAGTAACATTGATATTGTATATAATAATATTAAATGCTATTAAATGAACAAAGAAGAAGGGATTGTCATCGAATAAAACTTAAATATTTGTTCTAAATATCAACCCTAACAGAACTATAAAAATGAATTATGAAGAAAATTAACATTACTTGCATAATTATGACTATTAAAGAAGATGTTGTAGCAATCATTTAAAACATATAAATTTATATTGAGCAGTAATTATTATTTACCTAAGAGATCTTGAATTGTTTCTAATAGCCAATTATAGAACAATCTCATTTTTATCTGCAAAATATAACATAAAAAATATTTCCTTATGATTTGTTTCAGATAATAAAACTAAAAAGTTCTTCAATTTGAAATGTTTATATCACTTAATATAATTCTTATTTCAATATTGATGATTAAATTACAAAAATTGTAGTTGAATACATACGTTAATATAAATAATATTTATTGAAATTTACATTATACTTTTTGTAATATTTTTTTAATATTATTATGATATTTATTATGAATGTTTATAATGTTAATCGATTGGTAAATTATGGGAAATACCAACATCTTGTCTTATATGAATAAAATATTAAAAATAATTGTCTAAACTATTAACAATTGTGAAAACAAAACTAAAGTCAGTTCGTTATTTTTATTTTAATAATTGATATAATTATACTATTCAAAATTGGTTCTTAACCTTGAGAAACACCAATTTTTTTACCCAATTCACAAATATTGTTTGATGGTAATTTGTATTTCCTTAATAACAAATTTGAATTATTATATAAATGCAGTTATATTACATAACTAATTTTAATCTTTCCATTTTTTTATTATTTCTTGTAATATGTTTTACATTTTGATAAACTAATATATAAGTTAATAACTTTTTCTGTTGTTAAAATTTTGGGGATTATTATATCCATGACGTAACTATCATAGACAATAGAACTAAAATCGACGGAATCAGATTTAGTTTTATGAGCGTGGAACTCAGGTTTGTGTATAATATCATGTAAATTCTTGAATGTTGGGTAAGAAGATATAGAAAGCAAAGTAGAAAACCGGATTGGCTAAATTCGAGTAAATATATATAATTCTTAATTGCATTAAAAATTACAATTAATTTGTATGTGAAATACACTTATTTAAATCAATTAAAATAATTAATTAATATTAAAAAATACTTTAAAGTATATATGATATAATTATTGACTAAAAAATGTACATTAATTACTTTCATTATCGTACATGGTCGATTCGTTGTAGTTTATTGGGTTGTAATACAAATTATAATGAAATGTGATGTGTAGATGTTAGATTGTTAAAGGTGAACAAAAAGGAGAAATAGAAAATTTCACACACTTCTTTTCCCATTAATTGGATTTGTCTAGAACGTAAACAGACCCTGTATTTTATGGCATAGCGAGTGCTCTTTACATAAGCCCCCATGTGAAGTGCTTAAGCAAGCATGTGTGAAGATGGATTACAGACTTAATTGGCAGATTCCCAAAGAGTTACGCAACAGTTTCAAAACGCGAAAAAAACTCTCGAAACACACAGACACAATCGAGATGAATTAATCCCATGCACCTCTCAGATCCACGTTCAGACGTTCGAAGCGTCGGACCACTAACTGTAAGATAAATATAGATTTCGAGTTATGCAGATGAGTTTAACCCGCAGAACGTGAGCGGTTTTTAGGAGGACCACGACGACAACGAAATGTCACACATACGGTTTTCCTGTTATGTGCTTTACTTTGAACACCTAAGTGCATGTCGTGTAGCAAAAACCGACAATTATTCACCATTTGTTTCTTCTGTGCATGGAAACGTTTAATGAATACCAACGACACCGTTGCACGGCCTACATGTATCGGAAGAAAATACAACGAGGAAAACCCTTTTACCACCAATCACGACACCGGCGAAGTGCGGAAGAGAGTATCACTTCTTCATACACATTTCGTACATGCATTAGGTCTTCCGGCCTTTGGAATTCGTCGGCGAGACGCGTGCAGGTTTTGACCCAGTAATTTGGAAAAGAGAAATACACACTCGCATACACATGTAATCGTGAAAGTTCGTGGAAGATATTCGGATGGCCTCTGGGCCATTTCAGTTTTGTTGGTTTCGGAACAGGTTGGATCCGATCCAGCTGATGATGATGATGGTGTACGGAGGAGGTCTTCGGAGAGAGGATGAGTGAGAGAGGCTCGATATTGGGGTGTGGCCATTTACATTCCTCCGCGACGATAAATGGAACGTAAAGAGCTCTGTGGAATTCCGCGTCTTTATGTTTACGGAACATTGTTTCCGTTCTGCGATTAATTTGAATTCTATCGTACAGTTCATTCTAAACGGTTTTACAGTAATGCCGCATCCAATAAATTCAACGTTACCCAATTAATTATAGTCCTCTCATTGATGAACAAACCCGATCAGTGCTACAACGAGCACTTATAAAACTATAAGCTTTAAACAATTATTTCTAATTGATACATGAATCTTCTACAAAACTATATTTTGTATCTAATAAATTTGAAACATTAAGTGTCAAATATTTGACAACTTGATTAATTGGTTGCCATAGTATTTTTTTAATAGTCATACCGAAACGTTTGAACAAATTGAGTAATGGAAATAATAGATAATTTTACAATTTTACATACATTTTAAGGTAGAAAGATGCAGAATGTGACAATAATTATGTCATAATCAGAGTTCCTTGATATTACCCTATAAATATTACTAATTAATATTTATTATTTCACGTAAGCATTTGTTGTTTAGTTTATGAAAATATAAAACTTTTCGTTATAACTGAGTAAAATAAAAAGATATTTATAAAACAGACAAAAGAAAACTCATTTTCAACTATCAAAATGAAATCAATTTACTTTTGAAATGTTATTTGAAAATTTCTGTGAATTTTGATTTTTGTTATGAAACTTAATGGTTAAACAATACTATTTCATATTGAAAGTAAAATTCTTGGCAATTCAATCGTGACTCATTTCTGTTGGATTAAAATTATTTTGATTTTGTTGAATTTTCAAATTTAAATTATTTTTAGTATTGTTATGAAATATGATAATATGGAAAGTGCTGTCTTGAATTTCACGACTTTAATTGTAATATCTACTTTCAAATTCTTCTTGTCTTTGAACCTAAGTTAGTTGCTTCTTTTATATATTTTTTTTTTCAAAACAACAGATAATAACAACTTGAAATACCGAAACCAATAAACGTAGATTAAATTTAAAAGCACGTAAAGCACTGAAGTACAGTCATAAATCTAAAAACGTATCGCGTTTGGCTATTTGGAAACTTCAAGGCAGCTGAAATTGATGTTGCCATGAACTTGCTGCGTAAATTACGATGATGTTCAAAAGGCTTATTATTGCCGCCCCGGTAAACAGTGGAAGTTAAATTAATTGCGTTTAATTAATTTCATAATTCCTCGCGTTCGCTGCACTGCCTCTCCTGTTTGCAATTAGTCTTGGTCAGGATTGAAACGTCGACCGAAAACGTAATTATCTATAGAATTAGATAATACCGTGCCTTTTCAAGTTTAATTAATTCATAGATATATAATTATATGCAAATA